GGCATTTCTACATCATCTTTATTCGGAATATCCTATAGACCTAAAGATGATGTAGAAATGTCCTGTCTCTATCTATGCACCTAGTCGTGAAGATAAAAACAGATAAAAGAAAACACGGTTTCAGAATACACAATTAATATGTATTATTTGATATATTATAATTATTGTACACATTTATTTTTTTAAACTTTGCTTTACAAACATAAATATTATGTTTGGGACTAATTTAAATTGAAGTCTTAACAATGTTCAATGAGGAACTGGCCCCCAAGAATACATGATGTTGATCATGTTTAAACTTTCGTAACTAACGTAGTACGTAAATACTGCATAAATCTAGTTTTCATAATAGAATATAACAAGTAATTACTTATATATTGCGAGTTTTTAAAACAAGTAATAAGAATAAATTATTTCAAATACATAAAGTTCTCTCCAATTATATCTAATATTTTTCAATTTTTAAGCTAGGGATTTCTTTATTGACTATAATTTCAATTATATTTAAATTCATAATAATTATTCTTGTATTTTATATGATGCGAATTTTATTATTTATTAATAAATATTGATTTTTTTGTTATATTTGAGTTAAAGTAGAATTTATCTTATATGAAACTGGGCGATCGAATATTATTTAAGGAGTAAGAAAAGCTCAATATTCTTGATTTTCCAAAATAATTTTAAACGCAATAATTTTATTATAAAAGTATAATATTATAATAATAGTTTTCATCAGATTAAGGTGACGAAACTTAAGATAAAAAAATCGAATCGACAAGATAGAACAGTAAAATGTAACAAGCTTGCTAACAGCTAGATTTCGTAGTTGTTGGCAGGTGACATTGTTCCCAGGGAGCCGAGAGAATCATTAACATAAGGGTCGGTTAATTGGTACGTAGACAGAATATCGGACTCTAGCAAAGAAAGCACTATTCATTTGGTTTATCCGGTATATGAAATCAGGAAGATCTCATATAATTCGGAAGATGAATTGCAAGTTATCTTCTATATAGCTAAATTTGCAATTATCCCTAATTTTCGAATAATTAATTCAATTTATAAACTGAACACTACTTTTTCAATAATAGGATCTTTTCTCGTTCGGAATGTCATCATTATTAAAATAAACACGTTACTTAAAAATTAATCTTTTTCACATACAGTATTAATTTTATAATATTCATGACTGATGCTATAGAATTTTTCATAGGGAAATAATAAGTAAATAAAACTGAAATAATCATTAATTGAAATTTGGCATAAAATCAAATACATAAGTTATAGACTATAATTAAAGTAATAAAACATTCTACTTTAAAAATTCAAAATATAGACTTTATAATAAAGTAAAATTTTCAAATTTTTCATACACGTGGTTTTGTCGCTCCCCAAATTATTTTATTTTTACTGTTACTAATTAATAATTTGTTAATGAAATCTATTACGTATTAAAATTAAAATAGAGGAAAGGATAGCACTGCATTTTATCTAATGACGACTAATTTATAGTTGATGCTATATGTCTTATTCGTGGACAATAGTGGCAGCCTACCAACGATCGATATTTTTGCTGTAGCTGGACAGTAATCGGTAAGCAAATAGCCAGCTAGCAATAAAATTCTGCTTTAGCGAAAAAGAAAGGACCGACATGCAAACTTCTATTCGTGAAGCCTGGCAAACAGACGATAGCGTGTTAAGCGATCGTTCGTCTGCCACCAAGCCAGACATTCAATGTCAATTGATGCACAAGGTATACGTCATGATACTGTATAATATTAGAATGCGAATTTCCGCATTCTAACATTACATCTGGACAATTTACACTTTGTCTTAGCAGAAATCTATCATAGTAAAATTAATAATTATCATAGTATATACATCATATTATATATACACTTAATTGATTTTATTATTACGATAGTAAAATAGGGCAAACTATAATCATATCATTAAATATTATTTTATGGTATTCTAAATCGGTATTTTAGAAATTTTATAATTTATAAAATAATCGAAAATTTTTAAAGGCCATACTGTAATCATTTAATGTGACATATATAAATTATATTAGTTCTATTGTAAACGTATTTTGTTAGAAATTGAAATCGATTATATGAGATAGTTTATATATAAATAATGTAGTAGCAGTTTTGTTTGTACAGACTAGATTATCGAAAATAACTAAAACAGTTTAAGCTAATAGTCTAATAATCAGTAGATATCAATGTGACCATATACTAAACATGTTTTTTTCTCTGAAAATACAGGGTGTCTATAAACGATTACCTTGATTACAATTCCTTGATTACAATTTGTTACAAAATTTTTATTAGTATTGATAGGTTAACAAAATTTTATCAAATTAAAAGTTTTTATCCATAATCATCATAAACGTGAAGAATTTGCTAACAGTACATTGAATAAAATTGATAAAGGTAATCAGTTTTTGCAGAACATTTGTTTTTCGGATGATGCTTCATTTCATATTAGTGGTGTAGTCAATAGATATAATGTGCGTATTTGGGCTCAAATTGTTTATGATACTGTGTATGAGACATTTTCGAACTGTTGGATAGGCAGGAATGGGATGATTTCGTGGTGCAAAGATTTCTAGACATATCCCACTAGATTTTTTGAAGGGTGTATTAAAAATTCGATGTACGGGATGGCTGTTGATATGGAAACATTACGAAAGCGGATTACAAGTGTAATCGAATACATCACGCCACAAACGTTTGAAAATGTATGGAAAGAGATTGAATACGGCTTGATATTCTAAGTGCCATAAGAGGTTGAACTTTATTAAAATCTTTATACATTTATCCATACATAAAAACTTTTAATATTAGAATATAATTAGGTAAAAGTTTATTAACTTATCAATATTAATAAAAATTTTGTAACAAATTGTAATCAGGGTAATAATTTAGGGACATCTGCATTATCAGTTCATTCGTCATGTGTAATATTAGTATAATGTAAAATGCATATATTTTTAAAGTAATAATATGCTGCTATGATTACAATTCTAATAAATTTTAGTCAATTCATAAGGTAATTGTAAATGCATTATATCAGTTATTTAATTACATTATATAAGTTCTAAACATAAGAATTAAAATTTAGACATTTAAACCGACTAACTTAATCGAAATTATATGAAGGAGGACATTTAAACTATTTCTAAACTTTTTTAAATAAAATAATAATCTTTAATAATAAAAAATATATATAATATACCATTTTATTATTGATTTTTATATTAGATTCGCTAAAAATACACTTAAATCCTTATAAACCAATATTGTAAGTGTGCAGTCTGCCAAAAAAAATCCGCTTCTTTGGTTATAGGTTATTTGGTTATGAATTGATTACAAAATATATTTGGAAAAATTGCAAAATAAACGTTTATATGTGATAAATTATAAATATGTATAATATATAGCTATAAGTATACATATACAACTTAAACTATATATTTTTAAGTTGTGTATATCATATTAAGATCTATGAAGTTCGAAATAATCCTCTAGCGGTTAAATTGATCTTTTTCATTTTTTTTAAGATTTTAAAGTCTTGAAAATTCTTGATTGGAATCGATTCCTCACAAAAACTCGTAAAATTTATCGTTAATAACAATACAAGTTAAAAATTTTTGATAGTTTAATAATTAATGTCAGATCTAATCATTATAAAAGAATATATAATATATTCTTCATTATCCTTAATTTTGACTTGAATTATGTTTTAGCAATAAAATATACATGTCTTATTTTCTAATTAATTCCAATTGGTCTATGCGTTTTAGAAACTCAGGAGATGTTTCAGCTAACCAGATTTTAATAAATCTGACAATTGAAAACACATCTATTTTCGTAGTTAGGGCACTTTGATATCAAAATACTTTCATTTAATGAAATATTATTGTATGTCGTAACAGACATCTAATTTATTTGATAGACTACTCAATTTAGAAATGTTCGACTTATATTTTATAATGAGATATATAACAAGTCAATCAAAGATTTTTATTCTAAATACAAATCACTTAAATTTGAAATTTAGAAGCCTTAAGCATAACAATTATATATGCTATTAATAACTTGATAGCAATTGTAAAATGTGCATCAATCAAATGTTCAAGTATTAACATTTTCTTAGTTTTTCAGATGTTATAAATGAAATAAAGTAAAATTATTCAGTCATATGATTTCTTCAATAATAATATTTTTAATATGAATAAGGTACAGTACGTCCTTTCGTTGAAAGATCACTAAGTTCATATGGTTTCTTGTTATTTTAAAAATTATTGTTTAATTATTGCTATATTCAAAATAGTTCAATAAATAACGAAATATTAAAAATTAACTTATTATTAAATATTCGTGCTATTACTTTAATAATTAAAATTCAAATACAGCTTACATAATTTACTTTCCTCTAACAATTACCCTAATTTTAGACTAAGCAATTAGGCTAGCATTCAGCATTTTAGCTTAATTCTAGTACCGTTAATAATATAATTGATTTTATAAAACGTAAAATTATGGAAAAAACTTATTCACTGCTCTGTATATATATATATATTTATTTATTTATTTATATTTTCAAATTACGGAAATTAACCATGAATCTATATACAGTACTGTACAGTACATATAATATATTAGACCATATTGCTGTCGCGTCATAGTATTTAACAGGAAACATATCAGACAGTTTCCTAGAATAGAATAACTAATATCCTTTTAAAATAGTTTTTAATCAATTAATAAACTCTTTATCGATTCTTTAAAATTTAATTTATCAAATTGCAGATTTTACAGTATAATTATGCTCTAAATAGAAAATATAGACCAAATTTTTATTTTAGATATTAATTTAGTTAGTAATTAAATTTAGATTTTTGTTTTGAAATAATTTATCTTTATAAATATTTAGAATTATATATATATATAAAGAATTAATATTATAAATGGAGAAAATCTATCAAATACCTTGGCAAATGAAAGTGTCATAATAAGACAGCAAGTTTGCTCTCTGTAAAACTCGATACAATTGAAGTTCAGATTCATTAGTCGGTTGAGTCGTCATTGCAACTGTAAATATAAAATAATAAGATATAACAAGAGTAAAAAACACCTATTAAAAATTAAAATTCAATTAATAATTTAAAATAAAATAATGCTTATAACTCGATTTTTAAGGAAAGTAATTTAATATGCGTTAGCAAATAATGCAGTTTAAGCTAATTTTGTTTTTTTTTTCTAACGATGTAATAGACCTTAAGAAGTATCTTATTTCTTGAATCATATAAATTCGTGGAATGAGTACGATAAATACAATATTTAAAAAACGTATGTTTATATTGATAATGAATTCACATAGTTAACATTTAAAAAAAATTATTCATTTTCGCTAATTAATGTAAATTTTCACTTTGAAAAATTAAAACTAGATAATTACAATAGTATAAAAATAAAAATATAATCAATAAATTAAAATACTGATAATAATTTCAAATTATACCAAAGTAAAACTTTTTGGAATATTCTGGCGAAAAATGCTGATTTAGAATACTGTTAATGTTATACATATTGAATTTCACGATGATGTATGGAAAATATCCACAGACATGTCATATCCTACGATTAAAAGTACAAAGTAGTGAATATAATACTAAAAACAATGATATCGGATATTTTAATGAAATTTATGATATTAATACTATGAAATAAGGTATGAATGCAAATTAAAGCAGTTTCCTTTAAATAACATCAGACGTTGTGTAGTCTATATATTTATCAGATAAAATTTCAATTTTTTTTAAACTGAAATTTACAGAATTTAAAATCTTATATTAATATCTTAGTCTTCATGGTGAAATAGTGTAATTGGATATTTTGTAGTCTGTCTTCTAAATTATAACTTATTTAAGAATAAAATCTATTATAACTGATTATGATCGAAATAAGATGAGGCATTCTTTATTTATTGATTTTAAACCTATGTGTCTCAATATCTAGTTTAATCGATACTTTTGTGATAATGTATATACATCATAATCTATAAAAATTAATTTAAAACATAAGCATTTTAATTAACTTTATTGATGATTAAACTTAATAACAAATATTAAAATTTATAACTCAATAGTAGTTTATAATGTATACATACACGCATAATTTTAAAGTTTATGCTTACAGGCACTTAATCGAAAGAATTTCACTTAAGCATAATTTTAGAGTATTATTTCTTTAAACAAATTTATAATATTAAAAACATATTATTATATAGTATTATGAGGTGTATTTCAAGAAAAAATTTACAGTATTTAAAATGTAGAGTAGATTTTCGTATGCCACTTTCAAGTTATAAAATAAATAGAATTTGCTATTATAATATCATCACGTAAAATTTTAAATTAGAATATAGGTTATATATACATATTTTAATTGTCTACTAAAGTATTTAAAGAAGCTGATTCGCAATTGTTACTTGCATACATAATAGATAAGCATATATAAACAATTGTAATAATAAACAAATAATAATATTTACAAAACGATAAAAAAAAAAATGAAACAGTTGCATTCGTTAACATATAAATATGATTAGTAAATGACAATTTTTAATTTTTCGCTGTATATTTTGAATAACTTTAATAAATTATTATTATTAGTTTGTTATATTAGTGTTAAACATACAGCTGAAGCCCTTTTTGTTATTATAAATATCAAAAACATTATATTTATGAATGAGAATTTATTTTAAGTTGTATTATAGTCCTTTAGCTTTGTCCAGAACTGTTGTAGAGTACGAAGACAGTAATCAATTATTTTTTATTACTTTAAATTATTTAAATTCTTTTTTATAAGCTAAGAATGCCAAAATTTGTTTAAGTTTTTATTGGAAAAAATGCACATATGCTAATAAATATTAATATTTTATTTAATATTTCAGCCAATAAATTCCAATCTAATTCTATTTTACCATTTTTATTATAGTTATCATTTATTATATCGTATGCTGTAGTATTATTGAGGTTTCTATGAACCTTATTCTTGCCCTTATCTCCTATTTGATTTTACATATAATAAATTTATGTTAATATAATAATCTCCGTATTTTATAAAAGAAATAAAATGAAGGAGAAAATTAACAAATGTAAGTACAACCCCATTTAATTAAAAGGATTATGAAGTTAAGCTGTTCTATATTATATTTGTTTAGAAATGATGCGAAAATTCGCGTATGATTTGTACGATAATCTTAGACGGTATCTTAAAGTTCATTAAAATATAGCATTTTAATGATCCTTAAATTATTTAAAATATAGTTATCCTACAAAAATTAGCCTATATAGAAAAATAAAAGTCATATTATATACTTATTTTCTGTTTCTCTCTGTTAAAATTCATGTTAAAAATTCGTATAAAATTCTGAAAAATGATTAACTGTAGATCATACTTTATTATAAAAGTTTTAAATCTTAAGTAAAGCTTAAAAGTTTTATTTATGAAATAATGGAATCATTTCGTAGAGCAATATAATGCTATTTTTCTGTTGATTATAATGTTTTACAAATATATTTATATATATTTTTAAAACATTATGATCAACAGAATAACATATACAGAGATAGAAAATAAAATCTATATATCTGTATAGATCAATATATATATACATATTTATTTATTTAATCAGAAATTATAGAAACTACAGTATTGAATTTAGTTTATTGCATTCTCATGTTTTATTCATAAGCTAGTATAGAATAGTTGAAAACAAATGAAAACATCAAAATCTTGTCTTTGTGTGTATTAAAATGGCCTTTATAAATTCAGTCTCTATACAATTTCAGTTTGTTTTCAATTAGGTAATAATTAACATCCTTACATATTAAAAATGTTGCTTTATTTCTGATTTCAATCCTATTTTATTATTTTATGTAATTCTTTTTCTAATAAAGGTTTATTATACAAAATTTATAATTAAAATAAACTTCAAAATATTCTTTAATTACCTAATAATTTTAATCTTATCTAAGTTTTTATTCTTAAAATACAACGTTACGAATTTTTTTATTTGTATTATGACTATGTAATCATACTACGATAATATAAATATGCAATGATTTTTTAAATAA